TGATGCTCCTCTCCTCCTCCTCCTCCTCCCTCCTCCTCCTCCCTCCTCCTCCTCCCCCTCCTCCTCCTGCTCTTCGTCCTCCTCCTCCTCCTCCTCCTCCTCCTCCTGCTGCTGCTGCTCCACCGCATCCTGCGCCGCATCCTCCGCTGCTCCTCCTCCTCCTCCTCTCCTCCTCCTCCTCCTCCTCCCTCTCCTCCTCCTCCCTCCTGCACCTCCTCCTCCTCCTCCTCCTCCTCCTCCTCCTCCTCCTCCTCCTCCTCCTCCTCCTCCTCCTCCTCTCTCGTCCTCCTCCCTCCTCCTCCTCCTCCTCCTCCTCCTGCTGCTGCTCCACCGCATCCTGCGCCGCATCCTCCGCCTGCTCCTCCTCCTCCTCCTCCTCCTCCTCCTCCTCCTCCTCCTCCTCCTCCTCCTCGTCCTCGTCCTCGTCCTCGTTGTTTAGGGTCGGCGGCACCGGCCGCAAGACCTTCACGATATGCAGTGGTACGCGGACCGCAGGGGAGGTACCCGATTACACCCCATCCCCCTACCTCCGCGCAGCCATCTTCAGGGACGAGTTGTGTTGCGCGTGCCAGCGCAAGCTTTCGCCCCCTGTCAGGGCCCGCCCCTCGAGGCCGGGCCGCATGGCTACCGCGATGGCCCCTTGGGTCGACAATGCTAGGAACCCGGATTACGCGGCCTCCTACGAGTTCGAGTTGCACTCGCTCCTCGAGGCGGTCGCCTACGACCCCACGTCCCAGGACCAGGGGACCTACCTCGCCGAGGTCCTCGAGTCCACGCAGACCGTTACGGGGGCCGTCTGGCTCCGTCTCCGGGTACTCGCGTGCTCGGACACTGAGTACGGCAGGTTCGTGTCGTGCCGACCCCAGCGTTGGTTTTTGACACCGCAGGGATCGTTCAACCTTGAACGATCGGCCGCTGCCGCAACGTCCGATCGTTCAACCTCGACCGATTCTGGGTCGCCCGCGGCGTTCAACCTTGAACGCCCGCGCTGGGGTCGCCGCCGGTCGACACGACGCGAACCTACCGTACTTCAAGTGGCTGGCCGGCGGGGGCTCCGACAACCCCGGGTGGCACCACTTCTGCATTAAAGCACCGTCCGCGGGTGCAAAAGGAAAAGTGGGCCGGCGGCCGGAAGGAGGACGTGGCTCGCATCCGTTCGTGGAGGCCTGTCACCGTGGTCGACTTGACGAATGGCCGCCTCCAATGGGTTGATGTGTTCGAACGTACCACACATCGTGCACGGGGAAAAAAGAGAGAACGCAAGGGCAAATCATATAGAATAGCGCATGCTTTTTTATTATGTATAAGAGATGAATCATATATTATATACATTGGCAATGGGAATCCATTGGCAATGGGTCACCAAGGGGGTCACCCGAGAACAAGACCCAGACCTAGGGGGTCACCAAGGGGGTCACCAAGGGGGTCACCAAGGGGGTCACCAAGGGGGTCCCCAAGAATCCTCCTCCTCCTCCTCCTCCTCCTCCTCCTCCTCCTCCTCCTCCTCCTCCTCCTCCCCCTCCTCCTCCTCCTCCTCCTCCTCCTCCTCCTCCTCCAGATCTACCTGGACAGCTTGGCCCGCGACGGGGGGCCCGACGGCCAGAAGGCCGCGCGCCCGGCCTCAGGACCGCCCCAGGCGCCGCAGCTCTTCGGTGGAGTCGCTGGTGAGGCGGACCGGCAGACGCCACTGCAGAAGGGCCTCAAGATCGGGAAATCCCCGACGAGGTCGTCAAAAAAATGACGAGGCCGAGCCTGCATTTTGACGAGGCCTCCCGCTGCAGACATCCCACGAAACTCCTCCTCGTCAAAATCCGAGGCGCGGTCGTCAAAAAACGATGGCGAACCCGAGTCCTGGCAAACCCGGGCCTTACGCTCCCCCGATTTTTTGTTCAAAGATTTTTGGATTATTTTGCGCATCATGCTCGAACGCGCGATTCTGAATAAATTCAGAAGGATGTGGGAAATGGTAGACTTTCTACCAAAAGTTTTGGAGAATGGAAGGTCGGGGGAGTCGCTGGTGAGGCGGACCGGCAGACGCCACTGCAGGAGGGCCTCGAAGACCTCGCTGAGGACTTGAGGGGAGGGGCTGGGGCCGCGGCGGCCCGTGCCGGGCAGGCGAGGGGAGGCGGAGGAGAGGATCGAGAGAGGGATGTGCGGCCGAGGCGGCAGCGCAGGAAGCCGTTCGGGCTGGAGGTCCCGGCGCCCCGGGCGTCCCCGCGCGGCCCCTGGCAGGAGCCCCAGCTGACCCGGAGCCCGGGAAGGAGGACGATCGGGAACGTGCGAGGCGGCGGAGTCGCCGTGGGCGCAGCCGATCCCGGTCGCTCAAGAAGGCCGCGAAGCGGCGGAAGGACAGAAGCAGGCGGAGGCGGCGTTCTTCTGGGAGCTCGGCGTCCAGCAGTGCGAGCTCGACGGCCTCGTCGAGTGTTCCCTGGGCCTCCGCGTCGACGAGCCGCTCGAGCCATCAGCGGCTTCTGGCTTTCGCCAGGGACCACGCGGGGCGTCTGGGCGCCCGGGTCCTCCAGGACATGGAGGGAGAGGTCGCGCGCGACGGGGAGGCGAACGAGGGGGGCACTTCAACCCGGACCCCAGCCGTAGCCAGGTCCTACTATCTGCGTGTGCTCAAGACTACCTGCCCCAACATGCCGATTCGGACCGCCAGGGAGATGAAGACACTATGCTTCGCCCTGGACTGTCTTGCGAAGTCGGGCGCCGCCGAGGCCGCGGACATCCTCGGCCAGAGGCTCATGGCTTGCGAGAAGGCGCTGGCCGACGGGGGGTCGTGGCCGAAGGCGCAGTGCTGCGAGCTGGTCCCCCAGGACGCGGGCACCCTCATGACGCCGCAGATGGAAAACATGGCCTCCAAGGAGGTCGAGTTTCAACAGAGGCTCTCCAGAGGCAGCTCGAGCGGCAAAGGCGGGAGCTCGAGCGCCAAAGGCTGGTGCGAATCTTCCGGGGGCAAGGGCCAGGCTGGCCAGAACTGGCACGAGTACACGGGGAAGGACAAGGACAAGGGCAAGCAGAAGGGAGACAAGGGCGACAGGACCTGGAAGGGCGGCAAGGACGGGAAGGGGGGCAAGGAGTGGAAATGAGGGAGGACCGTCGGAACGGCGGCTCTGGCCTTCCTCGGGATAACTCTTTCGAGGAGCCTCTCGAAGCAACCACCTGGCAGAGAGCGCTCGGAGAGGGCCTCCGGCAGGCTGCGACCACCGGGGCCGCCCTGGGAGCCCTCCGAGGGCGTCTCCAGTTTCTCCCATCTCGGCTGGGCCGCTTCTGCAAGAGTCTGCTGGATGCGCCGAGCTGGCACCTCTCGGGCACCTCGTCCATGGGAGGGTCTCGGGACCTTTTCCCTATAAATCCCAGCCTTGCGGCCGCTCGCGCGGCCGGCCTCGCGAAGCAGAGGAGCAATTCTCTTCACGGCAGCTGCATTTCAGACGTCGTGGAATTGATGGTGATTGCCTTGAATGTCTTAGCTTCCGCCGGTTGGGGCGAGGTCCCAGTTGCCGGGCAGATTGGCACGTAGCTCGACAAGGCTCAGTTGCGGGTCGTCGCGCACCTCTTCGAGGCAGCTGAGCAGTTCTGCGGTTGGGACGGCCCGCCGAAAGACTTCGACGCTCTCGTCGGCGAGCTTCAGAGCTGCAAGGTGGATTACCAGGGAATTGTTGTATCCCGGCTCAGGCCCCTCGAAGCTGAGCGGGTCTTTCCGGCGTGGCCCGCGGAAGGGAAGGCAGCGGTCGTTCCCGTCATCTCCCTCCTCCACGGGGAGCTGTGGGAGGACCTCAGGACCCCCGGAGGTGCCTGAGCCCGCAGGAGGAGTGGCCGCCGACCCCTCCGCAGTCGAAGGTCCATGCCACCGACTCCCAGTGGTACCAGATCGTGCAGGGCGGGCTCAAGAGGGGCATCTTTGTCCCCTGCCCGGAGAGCGAGATTTTCACAGATGGCGCTGGGCGACGTGTGTTGGCTGGCGCGATGGGCGTTGACAAGCCCAAAGTGGTGGACGGCGTGACCACCACCCTCTTGAGGTTCATTTCCATCTTGTGCCCCATCAACTCGTACATGAGGCGCCTCCGCGTGCCAGTGACACTTTACCGTACCTGGGGCATATGGTCACCCTGGAACTGGAGGAGGGCGAGGTCCTCGTTGACGACGGGCAGGACCAAGAGGGATGTTTTAACATGTTCCAGATGCCCTTGGCATGGCGCGGGTATGTTTGCTTCTCGAAGCCTGTTCCTGCCTCTGTCGCGGGAGGTGATCCGAACCAGCTAATGCACGTCAGCATCATTACGGTGCCGATGGGGTGGGTAGGCGCCGTCGACCTCATGCAGGCTGTCATCAGGGAGCTCGTGTTCGTCCAGGCGGGCGTGAACCCGAGTACCGAGGTCAGGAAGCACGAGGTCTTCCCAGAAGGCCCAACCTACTCTCTCCTCTGCTTGGACGGCTTCGACTACCTCCAGAAGGTCCAAAAAGACGGCTTCGAACGTGGGGGAGAGGCCGGAGAGTTGCGGAGCCACTCGGTTCAGGGAGGTGTGCGTGCGACTTGGCATCCCCCTCAACGAGGAGGAACGCTTGGTTCGGAGCCTCGACTCTGGGGTGCTCGGGGGGGTGCTCTTGGGCGAGCGGGGTTGGCTCAGCCTTTTGGCCCAAGCAGATGCACAAGTTCATTTGGACAAGGGGGGGAGGAGGAGGAGGAGGAGGAGGAGGAGGAGGAGGAGGAGGAGGAGGAGGAGGAGGAGGAGGAGGAGGGAGGGAGGGAGGAGGAGGAGGGAGAGGGAGGAGGGAGGAGGAGGAGGGGAGGAGGAGGAGGGGAGGAGGGAGGAGGGAGGAGGGAGGAGGGGAAGGAGGAGGAGGGAGGAGAGAGGAGAGGAGGAGGAGGAGGAGGAGGAGGAGGAGGGGCGTGCCTCGCCTCCGTGCCTGCTTGGTCCCGGGCGGCGCTCCCGCACTTCATCGGGCTCGCCGGGTTCGCCGCCCAGTTCTCAGGCGGGTGCCGCTCGCAGCCTTCCCAGGAGAGCTACCGGGAGACTCCTCGCTTGGAGCGCGGGCCGGCGCCGCCCTCGGAGGTAGTCTTGGACGAGGTCCTCCTCATGGTGATGCTCCTCCCCCTCGCCTACTCGAATTTGCGAGCCCCCGTCCGACAGGGGCTGAGCTGCACGGACGCGTCAGAGGAGGGTGGCGCAGCTTGCGAGGCCTCTGCCTTCACGCAGGCCGTGGACCAGAAGAGTTCGGACACCATCTGCAGCCACTTCGCCAACCTCGTCGAGGAGTCTGGCCGGCCGGCAGGGTCGACCACCTGCTGCAGCGTCTGCGGTGCAGCTCTCGCGCATACCAGCCTGGAGAGGGCCCCCTGCCCCGCAGGCTACGGCGCGCTGGCCTGCGGGACCAGCTGCATGCTAGCGCACAGGCGTGAGCGACGCTGCACTTTCGGGGATCGGCGCCTCCCAGCTTTTGCTGAAGGGTTCTGGGGTCCCCAGGCGTCCCTCTCCTGGGTAGTGGCCCGCGCTGGGGTCGAGATTTCACGTCCTCTCGACAAGGTGCTACCGCCGTACCCGGACGTGACCCTGCCGTGCGGGAAGGCGTTCATCGCCGAGGAGTTCGACCACGAGGCCGTGGTGGTTTGGGAGCATTGGCGGCCAGGCAGGGCCAATAAGGTTGTCCACATCGCTCTCGGCCGGCTGCGCTGGAGAGCGCAGAATGGCGGATTCGCCGTCATTGCGCACCCGCGCAGGAGCTGGATATGGAACCTCCCCGCGGCCATGCATCTTCAGAGCCTCCGCGGGGTGTACTTCACAGTGGTGTGGGCTCACCACCACGGCGCCGTTACGGCGACGGAGATCGGCCTCCTCCACAACTCTGGTCTGCTCCACGCGAAGCTCCACGCGCCAGGCAAGCAGTGGGAGGTGGCACAGGCAGCTGTGGCCGCGTCCACTCTCGGCAGCGCGGCTACCAGAGACTGTATGGGCACCATGTTCCGCGCCTACGCCGAGGTGGTCGCCGAGGAGCTCCTGCTAGTACAGGCCGGGACGATGCCTGCTGATTCTAGCGCGCGGCCACAGTGGCTTACGCAAGAGCTGCTCTTGGCAACGCGGCGGCTTTCGTCCGCCAACATCTCCCTCCTAGCCGTCCAGCGGATTTTGAAGATTATTGGGATTAATTATGAGGCCTGGGGAGGAGGAGCTTCATTTGCGAGGGCTTCTGCGGCTCGTCGACTACCGAGGTTCGGACGTGCGCTTGGACACAGGCGTCTGCTCGGAGTCCGGGCAAGATATCCCTTACCCAACTTTCTGCTGGCGGTGGTCGTGCACAATGTCTTACAAATGGCGCTCGACGCACCACATCAACATTCTCGAATTCACCAGCGTCCTCAATTACTTCCGCAAGAAATGTCGTTCTGCATGTTATCATGGGTTTCGGTATCTTCACATCGTAGACAGCCGCGTGACGGCTGGAGTGCTAGCAAAAGGGCGCCCCTCCAGCAAACGTCTGAACCGGCCTTGTCGGAGGCTGGCTGCCTATTTGCTTGCTGCGGATGGTTATGTCCTCGTCCTCCTCCTCCTCCTCCTCCTCCTCCTCGTCCTCCTCCTCCTCCTCCTCCTCCTCCCCCCTTATGGACGATTTCTCGATGGATGGCTGCGGATCGCGGCAGCCGTCTGTACGCGAGAGACGACGGGGAAGAGTAGCACGAACAAGCGGCCGAGGCCGCCGCAGGGGAGCCACCTGAAGTACGTTGGCATCGGCAGCAAGACGTTATTGAGATACCGGACCCAAGTTGCACGATTGTTCCGCTATTTGCAGGCGCTCGAGAAGCCACTCCCGAGCACGATCGAGGAGCTGGACTTAGAGCTCAGCGAGTACATCAACCACTTGTGGCTGGATGGGGACAGTCATGGGTATGCGGGGGCGCTCGTCTCTGGCCTGCACCGGTTTGTACCACGACTTCGGGCCATACTCGCAACCTCCAGGCAGTATTTGCGTAATTGGGAGCGTACGTTAGTGAGGAAGCGGGCGTTCCCGCTTCCACGGAACTTTGTGATCGCCCTCGCTGGTGTTGCATATGCCTACCAGCGTCCTGACCTCAGCGCCGTCTTACTTACAGGCTTTCTGTGCATGCTGCGGACAATGGAGGCTGTTACTTTGCAGGTGCGCCAAATTGCTTTCTTCCCGAATTTGGAAAAGCCATCATCTCATTGCCCGACTCCAAAGCTAGCCACAGGAAAAATATAACGGAGCAGGTCACCGTAGAGGACCCGCTCGTGTTCGCCAGCCTGGCATTTGCCTGCCGAGGAAAACGGCCGGAAGATGCAGTATACGATGAGGTGCCTCGCAGGTTTTCTGGGGAGTTGCAGTGGCTTGCCCAAGCGTTGGGTATTTTCCGCGCTGACCTCACGCCTTATACGCTCAGACGTGGGGGGGCTACTTTCCACTACCTCCGGCACGGCAATCTATCTCAAACGACCTCCCTTGGGCGTTGGGAGAATGAGAAAACCTGCAAGATTTACGCCCAGCAGGGGGCAGTACACCTCGCGGAGTGGAGCACGAACGAAGCGCAGCAGGCGCTCATTGACAGAGCAACGTCCATTTGTGCCGGGGTTCTGCAAGAGAAGAGGGCTGAAAGCAAGCCGGTCGTTGGTAGACCCTGCGAGTGCGGCCTCGTGAGGCCGGAGCCCTCTGTCCCTGCTGAGGGCAGTCTTTTGAGGCTGGAGGGCCAGGGGGTAGGGCCTTTTGAAGGGGCCCTGAGACACACAAATAAATACACACATAAATAAAAGGATGTCCCATATTTTCCTATATTTTCCGGGTTTTTGTCTTCCCCCCCCCACTTCCCATATTTTCAAATATTTTCTGGGAAATCGACGATTAGTTGTGTCTGTGTGTTTCTTTCCCTCCTGACCTCTGCCCGTCTCGCTCCTCCCATTGGCGCACCCCCGGGCCTCTGCCTGGGCTGGGGAGGGGGCGCTCCCCGCCATGGGCAGAGTGTAGGAAGGTGGTGTGGGGGGCGGTGCGCGGGCCCGACGGCTGCCGCAGGGCGGGGGCCTCGTACGCCGAGGCGGTGGCTTCAGAAGCTGCCCTGGGCCCGGCACGGCCGGGTCCCAGCCTTGGGAAGGGGGTGCGTGCGCCCCTCTCCCCCGGCCACTCCTCTCCCGAGACCGCGCGGGCGCTCGGCCAGGGAGCGCACCCGCAAGCGCGTGCCAGCTCGGCGCAAAACGGTCAGGAAGGGAGTGAGGGGAGGGGTGTGTATACATATATACATATATATATATATATATGTGTGTGTACACATGTATATTGGGAACGCGCTGCTCCTTCTGATCAGAAACCTAAAGCAGCGCAACAACTACACGGACGGAGGGCTGTGCCTCGTCGAGTTGGGCCTCTCGCAGAGACTCCCTCAGGCTCGATGACGTCGACGACCAGGCGCTCAGCATGGACTGAGGGCAGCTCTCTTTCAAACGGGGGCGTTCGCTGGACGACACTTCCTTGGCCTTGGAGCTCCTACCTCGTAGCGGCGGAGGAGGACGAGGAGGAGGAGGAGGACGACGAGGCGGAGGAGGACGAGGCGGAGGAGGACGAGGAGGAGGAGGAGGAGGAGGAGGAGGAGGAGGAGGCGGAGGAGGACGAGGAGGAGGAGGAGGAGGAGGAGGAGGAGGAGGAGGAGGAGGAGGAGGCGGAGGAGTCCCGAGCACGGATGGCGGCTCCGTTTCACGGGGCTGTCGCCTGGCTTGCAGGACCGCGGGCCGCTCGCCTCTCGAGGGGGACACGCCCAGCTGTGAAAAGGCACTCCTGCAGGGGCACCCCCCCGACAGGGGGAGGAGGAGGAGGAGGAGGAGGAGGAGGAGGAGAGGAGGAGGAGGAGGAGGAGGAGGAGGAGGAGGATGAGGAAAAGAGGAGAGAGGAGGAGGAGGCGGAGGAGGAGGAGGAGGAGAGGAAGAGGAGGAGGTGAGAGGGAGGAGGGAGAGGGGGAGGAGGAGGAGGAGGGGAGGAGGAGTGAGGAGGGGAGGAGGAGGAGGAGGGGAGGAGAGAGGAGGGGGAGGGAGATGGTGAGAGGAGGGGGAGGAGGAGGGGGAGAGGAGGAGGAGGGGAGGAGGAGGAGAGGAGGAGGAGGAGGAGAGAGTAGGGAGGAGGAGGAGGAGGGGGGCGAGAGGGGGAGGAGGAAGGGAGGGGGCTCCGGACGGATGGGCGAACTGCAGCCTCGTTGAGGCCTCTTGGCTGTACTCTGGCCCTCCTGCTCCTCCTCCTCCTCCTCCTCCTCCTCATCCTCCTCCTCTTGCCCATCCTCCTCCACATCCCTTGACATCCGACGACGTGTTTCATGTTCCAATCCACAGCCCCATAGGTCCCGACCCCTGGGGCAGTTTTTCACCCAGGATCCATGTTCGATGGTCCTCGGGCCAGAAGACGGCCCTCGGAGGCCAAAATCGACGAAAAACGCCGGAGCGAAACAAATCATATTGTCGGAATTCTGGGTCCTCCTCCTCCTCCTCCTCCTCCTCCTCATCCTCCTCCTCCTCCTCCTCCTCTGAAGAAGGAGCCCTGGCGGCCCGGGGCAGCGGCGGCGGCGGCGCTCCTCCAGCCGACGACCGCGCTACGCCCCACGCGGATGAGGAGGCTCGCCGCCAGGCGGCGCTGCCGCTCCAACCGGAGCCTGTCGCGGGGCGGCGCCGACGACGACGACGACGACGACGACGACGCCGACGACGACGACGACGACGACGACGACGTTGCCGACGACGACGACGACGCTGACGACAACGACGATGGTGGATGCACGTCAACCGCCACAGAGCCGTGCCCCCCCGACTCTTCAATGTTTTTTTCCTCACCCCTCCCACTACCCCCACCATCCTATACTCCTCCTACTCCCACCTCCCTCCTCCTCTCCTCCTCCTCTCCTCCTCCCTCTCCTCCTCCTCCTGATCCTCCTCCACCTCCTCCTCATCATTGCTCCTCGTCTTCCCTCTCCGTCTTCTCCTCCTGTTCCTCCTGCCTCCTCCCTCTCCTCGTCTCCTCC